GGGCCACAGTTCCCGAGTTAGGCCTACGGAGGGCCTCTAAAGACGGTATTTATTCTCCTCAAGGATTTTTTTTGGGGGGGGCGTAGTAGGGGTCCGTCCATGGAGGCCGGGCTGAGTGCCGAGGCATGGCTCCCCGAACTCCCTGTTCCGCCATGGCCTCCTGAACTGTCTGCTCCGCCATGGCACCCCGAGCTGCCTGGTCCACCATGGCTCCCTAGTCTGCCTGATCCGCCATGTGTCCCGGAACGGGTACTGCCCTGGAGGCTGTCCGTCCCTGGAAGCCTGTCCTGAGAGACCTCCAGAGCGCCCATCCCCCCTCCCCCACTGGTTGTTATGAGGCACGTGGACGCGCCTTCCGGGAGGAAGGAGCAATGTCAGTGTTTTGGACTTGTTTTTCCTTGTTTTACACCTGTCGTAGTTCCTGGTTTTCTTTATATGGTCATTTTCCTGTTCTTGTTTGATTGCCTTATCCTATGCACCTGTGTTTCCCAAACTGCCCTGGAGGCTGTCCGTCCCTGGAAGCCTGTCCTGAGAGACGTCCAGAGCGCTCATCCCCCCTCCCCCATTGGTTGTTATGAGGCACGTGGACGCGCCTTCCGGGAGGAGGGAGCAATGTCAGTGTTTTGGACTTGTTTTTCCTTGTTTTACCCCTGTCGTAGTTCCTGGTTTTCTTTATATGGTCATTTTCCTGTTCTTGTTTGATTGCCTTATCCTATGCACCTGTGTTTCCCAAATTATCCCGTGTATTTTAGTTCCTGTCTGTGTCATTTCTCGCTCCTGTGTTTGGATTACCCTTGTATTTCGAGAATTAAAGGACTGTTGATTGTACTCCTTGTCTCCATCGTTCCTCCGACAGTGTAAGTGTGACAAGCACATTAAACTGGAGATAAAAAAGTAGGGGTATGGGGCACTGGGACATGACCCAGGCTGGCCGTATATAATACTAAAAATACAGTAAAAACATTATTACTTTGAAATATTATTACAATTTAAAATATATTGTATTTTAATATCTTTTTTTGTGTGTGTGATGGCAAAGCTGGATTTTCAGCAGTCATTACTCCAGTGTTTAGTGTCACATGATCCCCCAAAGAACACATCTTCCCCCCAGGATTATTTGATGAATAAAAAGTTCAAGAACAGCATTAAGGTGTAGTTACAGCATCTACCAGCAGGTGCTAACTGACCAATGCTAACCAGAAAAGCCTTGACCCTTTGGCTGTCTCTATCTAGAAATAACAAGTAACAAATTATGGTAAACATATGGTTAAAGATGCATGCCTTTAGCAATTTTGTAGGATTTTTAATTTCTAAAGACTGTAAAATTACTTTCATACAATATTCATTTTGGTGGCCAGTTTTTCTATAATGTTATGACACATACCACTGAAAAGTTTGCAGATTATCTTTAAAACCAGTTAAACTCTGCGGACCTGGATACGGGTCCAAAATCGCGTAAAAAATGTTTATGCTTCATTTACATAGCCTTCCTTATATGGTATTAGCCCATATATGGGTTCATTTGAAAGCTTGGAGTGTCTCCTTTACAAATAATACCATTCCTTTTGGTTTTTATATTCATAAAGCAGTAAAATTAAGCTTAGAAATGTATTCGTCCCACACACAAATTTCCGCCTAACCATTGAGAATAATTTTTACGAAGAATGTGTATTTTATATATTGTTCACAAAAAAGTCAAGTCATATATCACAAGGAAGCTCTCATTCTCAGGAATTTGACGATGTAGATTATTTCATTGTGTGACAATCACAGATTGAATTATCTTCGATAGAATCGCGAATTTGAGTATGTTAAATTTAAGCGAAAATACCAAAAAACGCCCTGAGCTTAAATCTTTAAGCATTTTTTAAAGCATTACTGTGGCTTTGTACACACACATTACTCAGACCCTAAGCAGAATCACTCTTTCTGATAAAACAGCAAGAACCTCAGGTAGGAAAGAGCCATTTTCATTCTCTCCCAGTCATCAAGGTCGAAACTTTTCACTCTTGCTTACTGAGACAGTAAATGTTTATGACTTTTAGGGGTTGCACAAGTGTGGGTAACGCTTTAGATTACAACCCGCAACATACTGCTTAAGTAAACATAATGTACAGCGTAACTTTTTTTTAATTATAGTGTACCTATTCAGTACCGCCGTGTAGGTATAAGGGAATAATATGCTAAGTTTGGGAAATAAAGGGGTAATAATCTATAAAATTGCAAATTATTTCTACTGTAAGTATTTTGAAACTAAGGGGTACATATTCTAATATTATGTGGTATGTATGACTTAACAACAATCTTATATTTGCAAGCGATTTAGCAAAAACATACACTGTGTACTTTTTTATAGCCTATAAAACACGCTGGTAATTGTTTCAATCCAAACACTCGGTTGAGACAGTTGGGTTAAGAAGCTGACTTGATTTGACTCAATTTGGGTTGAAATCAGTAATAAGTAACCCAACGGTGCTGGGTTATGAATGTGGAGGACGTGAATGAGAGCATGCAGCAAGTCACGTGAGTTCAAACGTGAACCGTTCTGTGTGCGACGAAATCCGTGACTGCAGTGCTTAAGATGGGAACATGTGTGGAAAATAGGAGAAAACTAATCGAAGTGCAGACGAGGGACAACTTTGAAACTGTTTGGAGTGTGTTCCTTTAAAACTGGACCAGTGAATGTGGTGAGTGCAAACTGGAAACAGAATGGCGCTCGAGACGATCGAGTCGGTGTTTGCGGCGCTTACGACAGGAATATGTGTCGAAAATACAAGAAAACTAATCGAAGCGAAGAGGAGATTTTTGAAACTGATTGTAATGTGTTCTTTTAAAACTGGAGGATTTTGTCCGAGTATGTTCTCACAACA